GTGCGGCGCGAAGAAGGTGCATGCTTGTCTTAGTTATGATTCTGTTTAAGAGATTGAATACCTTGCCACCCCTGATTGTGCGAAGCAGCCCCCAGGGGACCTCATGGATTATCGCGCCGAATACTGGGGGGGGGGCTCTGGATGGCTGGTGGTGCGAAGCGTGCCTCCATAAGTGAAGCACTTTCTGATCTCCGCCCAATGGCCTTGGCGGCCGTTGAGTTGTTGGAGCCCCATCGAGTCAGCAGACGTCGTTCGAGAGGCCACTGGTTTTTCTACTAGCACTGCGGTCGGCGTTGACCACTGCCCCCCCCGTGTGTTTCTGTGCCTTCCCGAAAGAGCCAACTCGGTTTTGGCCGGCGCTTTCAATCGGTGTGAAAGGGCCTTGATGTGGCCTGCTCAGATCCTCCTTGGGGTTGTTGCCCTCCCCCCTAAGCCCGTGAAATCTGAGAGGCCCACATGCAAATGCCACACCGCCTATCGGTTTTATTGCCGCATGATGGGGGCAGGACCTTGACACGTGGAATGCTTCCCATATTGATTTGTGGGATGTTGCCATTAGGGGAAGCAGCGCATTGCGTGCTGCCTTGTTGAGAGAGGTTGGTCATGAGGTTGCCTGGTGTCTTGGGGGGTACTCTGCGGCCCTGCGTTGGGACCTCACCAAGTTCTTTGATTATCTCAACCCTGCCCTCCCCATCCGATTTGGAATGAAGCGTGGATGATACACACTGCCCCACGCACTATTGAGGTGGGCGGTTTCTCATGTGATATCACCCCTGTCGGCACTGGGATTTTGGCTGGATGCACCCAGTCGGTGCCGTGGGTCAAGATGTTCTTTTTGATTTCATCTCCCATGCTCATCGGTCTTTCTCTCTGGTCAATCTTAGGTCGTACGTGGATGACATGTCTCAGGCCCAGCATGGAAGTGACATTTCTTTCACCTGTGACACTTTAGTGCCTGCAGCTGCTCAGCTTGTGCAGGGCCTGAAGGCCCTCGAATGCGTTATTTCTACGAAGAGCGCTTTTGTTGCCTCCCACGCTGCGCTCCGTGAAGAGCTCAGTCGTCGTTTCAAGGCTGCCGCCATTCCGATCTGTTCTGCGGGTGCTGTCAAGGATCTCGGCACGATTACGACTGCTGGGATCCGCCGTAACACCTCTAAGGTTAAGTGCCGTAGGCGTGCGGCCTACCGCAAGGCGAAGGTGCAAGCTCGTTGGTAGGGCTTCCAAACTTTGCAAGCCTGGCGTTCTTGCCGTCGGTTCTTGGTGCCATCAGGCCCTTTGAGCGCCCCCGGGCCAGGTGCAGGCTATGCGGGCCCAGGCTGCCCATTGCTCAGGAGCCTGGGCCACGGGCGCGCGCACTACCACTGTCCTCTCATTGGTGTCTGCGCCGAGGGACGATCCCCAATTCAGGCTTCGCCACGAGCAACTAATGTCGTTTGCCCAGATATGGGAATCCCTTTCCCGCCGCCAGCGTGATGGAGTCGCTCGGGCTTGGGATAAGATTGTGCGCATATTTTCTGCGCTGCCTGACGGCCACCGTTGGAGACGGGTCAAAGCCCCCATCGCTGCCACGATTGCGGTGCTCATGGACCTGTCTTGGCGACCTAGATCCCCCGTCTTTTGGCAGGCATGTGGTGCTCCTGACCGCGAGCTCCATCAATGATCCTGTTTTTCCCCATGCTTGCTGGGGGGCCCTGCTTGAATGTTGCCAACCAAATGTCTTTGGGGCGCGCTTCGGGCTACTATCTTGGGGATGGGGTCCAGCAAGGCGTCGATTTTACTGCGTTGCAGAGCGTCCTGAAAACTAAGTCACGTGGGGAGTCCGATTCTGCTGCCATGATTCGTAGTATTGCTTCAGGTGCGTACTGGACTGAATCTCGATTGGCGGATGCTGGGTATGTGTCCAGCACTCGGGGCCTTTGCGGCCGCTGTGGCACTGCTAAGGAGACGCCGTTGCACCGCTTCTGGCTGTGCCCTTGCAACTCAGACATCCCTGATCATATCATCCATTAAACCGATCGTTTTCGTGAGCGTGCGGTGTCTGAGGAACACCTTTCCTGTATTTGGCTTAGGGTTTGATGCCCCTCCCCATTTCTGTTGGCCACCTCCCCCCTCCCCTTGACCTCTCCTGGACTTGGGGTCGCTGTCGCATGGTGGATCGGGTCCGTGGGGGGACTTGGGGGATTGACGGATCGGGAAGTGAACATACTAAGGATTGGAGGCTAAGGGGGTGCGGGTGGCCCATGGTTCGTCAAGGGCCAGCTGGTGGCCTGGACTCTATTGCATTTGGTACGCTACCGACTGCTAAGCAGAGCTCTGTCCGTGCTGAGTTGCATGCCTTCTACCAGCTCCTGGTCCGCACTACTGGAGATGTGACCGTCTATTGCGATTGCCTCCCAGTGTGCCGTGGTTTCCGCCGGCCCTTGTGTGCCAAAAAGAAGTCGGCTATGTTAGAACCATAGACGTTGGTCCATGATGAGCTCTCCCATAGGCCTGGTGTGGTAGCCTTCCTTTGGACCAAGGCCCACCCCACCCAGAACCAGATTGATAATCTTGGTTTGCGTCCTGGTGAGTTATATGTCAATCAGGCGGCTGACTTTTTTGTTGCCAAGGCTGCCCTCTCTCGCGCCCTCCCCCCCTGAGCAGGTCCAGGCCACTGTGGCCGCCGACCTCCTTGCCCGTCAGGTGATTGGCCGTCTGTTGGCCATCCAACGGGAGGTGCTCTTCACGGCGCCTCCCCGCCGGGCCCCGCGGACGGGCCTGCCTGAGGGGCGGAGGAGGAGGGGTGTCGTGTCGTCGTTGGAGGTTCGTGTCCGTCATTTGAGAGAGGCCGGCCACAATCTTAAAGTGCGCGCACGGGTAGCATGGTGTACTCGTTGTGCGCGCACTTTCTCATTGCGTGGATTGCTAGATGAATTTTGGCCATGTGCTTGTAAACCCAGAGGTGTGACGGCCCCATTCATTCGGTTGTTTGCCGACCCTGGGTTTCCCACACGTGTTGATCCCCCTCTTGCACTGCGTGGTGCTCTTGCGCACCCGAGGGCTGGAGATATGCACCCGTCTCACACTCTGGAGGTGTACCGCGGCATTATGTATTGTTCTCGCTGCGGAGCTGTATGTGTGGAGCAGGCCCGCAAATTGTTGAAGCCTTGTGAGCGCCCCACACGTATGGGCAAGGATGTGCTCCAGCGAATTTTTCGTGGATTGCCCCCTAAGACTGGGATGGCCTTCCCTGAATTGTGATGAGTGTGTGCTGACGCGGCCAGGCTTGCACCTGCGTTGCGCAACTGGTATAATAATGATAATAGTCGTTGTCGGCGTCGTCGTTGTCGCTGTCGCCGTCGCCGTCGTCGTCGTCGTCGTCATGGTCGTCGTCGTCATCGTCATCGTCGTCCTCGTCCTCGTCCCCCTCCTCGTCCTCATCCCTGTCGTCGTCCTCGTCGTCGTCGTCATCCTCGCCGAGGGCCTCGAAGGGATCCCAGACACCTCCAGAGGGTTCCGGAGACGTCCTTAGGCGTCCAGGGATCTTCAGAGGCGGCCGTCGTCCTCGTCGTCGTCACCATTCCCGTTCCAGTCCTCGTCGTTGTCGTCGTCGCTATTGTCGTGCTCGTCGTCGTCGTCCTCGTCCCCGTCCTCGTCTCGTCCCCGTCCTCCTCTTCGTCCTCGTCCTCGTCGCCGTCGTCGCCGAGAGCCTCGAAGGATTTCCAGTTGATTCCAGAGACTTGTAGAGGCGGCCGTCGTCGTGGCCCTCGTTGTCGTCGTCGTCGTCCTTATCCTCGTCGTCGTCATCGTCGTCCTCGTCGGCGTCCCCGTCCTCGTCCTCGTCCTCGTCGTTATCGTCATCGTCGTCGTTGTCGTTGTCGTTGCCGTTGTCATTGTCGTCGTCGCCGTCCGGCGCCCAGACCCTTCCCCCGCGGAGGCCGACCACGTTACCGTTACCCCCCCCCACGGGCCCCCCCCCGCCTCCTCGTTACGGAGGTGACGCGGGAGGGGATGATCAAAAGTGCCCCCCGCCCCCTCCTCCGCCGCCGTGGAGCACTGAATGCTCAGAGCCGGCCGCACGGGGCCGCAGTGATGGTCACGGCGACGACGACGACGACGACGACGGGCCACCGCGGCGGCGGCGACCGCTTCCATCGCAGCGGCACCCATTCCCCCCCGCCCTCCCCCCCACCCAGGCCTCTTGAGGGCCTCCTGGGGGCTTGGAGGCGGTCTCGCATGCCGTCCTTCGGCCGGGGGCCTCCGAGCGTCGGTCCGTTTGCTCCACCTCTTGAGGACCGTCTGGGGCGGGGGCCTCCTTGGGCCCATCCTGTCACGAGCAGGCGCAGGGGCACCCATACCTGCGCGGAAGCATCCAGACCCCTCGGGTTGGAATTCCGTGGGGCCACAGGTATGCGTTGTCGAATGGGGGTCCCCGCTCCTCGGACCGGGAGCCTCCCTCGTGCGTTCTCGCTTTTGTGCTGTGGTGCTGGTTCGCAACGCCGATCCGCTCGAGAGCGCCGCTCGCGCTTCGCTCGAGACCTCTGCCTGCCCAGTATGCGTGGACCATGTCCCCGGCTGGGGAAATAGAAATAGAACCCGCACCCAGGCCCACGGCGCCTTCGTTTCCTGGCCCTTCACCGTGGCCCGCTCCTCTTCCCTGCAGGTCTGAGCGCGCGATGTTCTTCCATCATCCTGGGGGCCTTGCCCCCCCGCGGCGATCGACCGACAGGCTGTGTCGACCGCGCTCGGCTGGAGTCGGGCCTGTCCTTCTCCAGGAGGGAAAGCCAAGCATAGTCAAAAGAATCATCCAGGGACGAAGCTCTGCTCCTTTGTAACTGTGACTAGGCTTGAGCACTTTTTTCGGCTAGACCTAATCGTTCCTCAAAAACCCCGCCTGTGGGGGGACGACCCAACGCTCGGCCGACCCCGATCTGCCGGCCGACCCCCCGGCCTGCGGGAGGGGGCCAGCGGGCCCGGGCGGGCCGCGCGTGCGCGGCCTGGCCGGCCGCTGCCCCATGCAGGATGAACGTGGTGGGCAAGGACGGGCTGCAGTACGTGCCCCCCGCACCGCACGAGCGCCGATCGATCGCCCTCTTCCCGAGCATTTTCTTTGGGTGGAGGGCAAAGGGTGGAATCGGAGAGGCCGTTTCGATTGATCTTCCAGGTTTGAATCTGCAAGATGTGAACCACAGGACGGGTGGATTTTCGAGGTGCAAGAGCCCATCTGGATTTCACCCTGAGCCCTCCACCCTATGGAAATCCTCAGTCTTCGGCTCTCACGTCCGCTCGTTCTGGTCCTGCCCGCAGATCCGGGCGTGGCATGTGTTCTTGGGCGCCGAGCGGTTTCTCCTTGTCTCTGCGGCTCCAGGACCATCACAGGTCGCTCCGGCTCGCAAAATGGCGCAGAAGGACGGGGCCTAGATCCCTGGTGTTGTTTTTTGTCCGCGATTTTCGAGTGTTCCAGTACGGTAGGTTCGCGTCGTGTCGACCGGCGGCGACCCCGCCGCCGGCGTTTAACGTTGAGCGCCGCCGGCGGCCCAGCACTGGTCCATGTTGAGCGATCTGATGTTTCAGAGACGGCCAATCGTTCAAGGTGGAACGGTCCCCGCGGCGGTGTCAGGCATTTACGCCAGGGCCGACACGACACGAACCTCGGGCCGGGCGAAAGGGGGGGATTGGGAAAGGGGGGGTTACGAAATTTGCTGCATGCAGCTGGTTTCGGCCTCACCGAGGGGGCCATGCCTCGATCCATGGCCGCCTCCGGCGCCGGGAGGCGCCAGGAAAATCAGCTACGTGAGCTGATTCTCAAACCCCCCCCTTTGCTATCCCCCCTTTCGCCCGACCCGAGAACCCGCGGTAGCCTCCTTCCTGCCAGCCTCTTCACTCGCCGTTCCTGCTGGGGTGCCCGCTTCGCGCCGTCGAGGCCGCGTTCAGGGCCGCGGCCCCCACCGGCGGGCGGTGCCAGGACCGGGCTCCGCGGCACGAAGCGGCGACGGGTATTCATTGATGTCGGAGAGCTATTTTTTAGCACTGGAGACCTAAAAACCTAAAAAGCTGGGCGAAGCAGCCTAAAGCCAAGACGTAGAATAGCTCTGGGATAGGTTTTTAAGTCGGGTGCTATTTTTTAGCCCTCCTGGAAGGTCAGGGAAGAGGGGGTGATGGAGAGTGTTTTTCACCCCCCTCCGGGCCATAACGCGCGTTATGCCCCCCCCACCCCTCCCCCCCCCCCCAGAACGTAACGCCCCCCCCCCCCCCAATACGTCCCCGACACTGCCCCAGTGCGTCCGGCACCACCGCCTGAGGTGCTGGACCCACACGGCGGGGAGGGGTGTCCCGTTATGTTTTCCCCGCCCCCCTCCCCCGCCATAACGCTTGTTTCAAGGGAGGAAAAAACACCCGGACCGGACAATTGGCGTTTACGAAACGGCCTTGGCTGTTGACTACACATCCCTGCCCTGTTCGATTCCTTCTTTGGGCGCGTTTACTCAAGGCCTCGCGTGTCGAGGTAGTTATTATCGGGATGGTTTTTCTGTCCTCTATTGTCATCGCTGCCGACAGAAAATAACTCTGAGTGGGGGGATACCACGTCCGGGACCACCACATCTCCACGGCTTCCACGGCCCCACCCCTGGCCGTGCACTCGCCTCGGGCCATGACTTGCGAGCCCCTTCTTTTGGACGCCCCCGATGGCGGGAATTCTGGAGCCCCAGCGACGGTTGCCACCTTGGGGCCTCGTCTGGGCACTGCGCGCTGCCTTCGGTGGGAAGGGTGGCGTTCGCCTGGTCTCTGGCCAAAGTAGTTACCCGTGCGTGGAGTGCCCGTCAGGGGGGCGCTGACGGGTGTTACCAGGGGTGTCATTGGCCAGAGGTCGAGGGGCACGACGCGGCACAGTTAAAGCCGGCGATGCAGAGGGTCCTCAGGCGCGAGCAGCAGATGGAAGTGCTAATTGCGACCGTGGATTGTCGATAGCGCAGCGTGCAAGCGTCGCACATTGCAGCATGGAAGCGATGGTTGGGTTAGAGGAGATGTAAGTCTAAACTGAATATGCAGCGGCCAGAAACCGAGGATAGCACTAAACTCAAAGTGAATTGAAGCGCGAGAGCCTGGGGCCAATTGCGGCCTCTGGATCGCCACCGCCGTGCTAGACAGTGAAGCGCAAATAATGAACGCTGCTCGGTAGGTTGGTGTTGTGGCCAAACCAGCGGCCTTGCGAGGCAGATTGGTAGGGCGTTGACCAATGAGCAGCACGGCGAGGCGACCGCGACGACGGGGCACGAAGCGGCACGGACATGTACGCCGTCGGAGGTCCGCACGGACTTCTTTTGAGTCGACGCTGGGACCCGACCAGCGCCGACCCGCGAACTCCGCGAGGACCTTCGAAGCGCCCGCCGATCCGAGGAATTCGAGCAGGCCTCTCTGCGAGGTGCCCCCAGGATCTCCAGGGAAGCCCAGCTGGCCCCCAGAACCCCTCGCGAGGTCCACAGGGCCCCAGATGGGCCACGAGGACACGCGAAGCTGACGAGCCGACACCCTGGGCCAGGGACACTTTGTGGCAACCCCCGGCAGTCACGAGCAACGTCGGAGAGGATAGGCTCGGGAGGGAACGGCTCAGCTCCATGCTTGGCCCCTTTGAGCCGTTCCCCTCTATAGAGCTCCCGCTTCGACAGGCAGACGCCCCCGGCCAGGGTGCCCCGCGGGAGGGCCGCCCCCGGGGCCGAAGAGGGCGCACGCGGGGGCGAGAGCCTCGGGCCCCCCAGGCCCGGGCAGGCGGCAGGGGGTCGCCACCGGGGGGAGGGTCGCCGGCCGCTCCCGCTGCCCAGGGACCGAGGGCGTCTTCGAGCGTTCTTCATTCAGGAGGGGAAAAAACACACAGACACAATTAATCGGCGATTCCCAGAAAATATAGGAAAATATGGGAAGTGGGGGGGAAGACAAAAACCCAGAAAATATGGGAAAATATGGTGGATGTGTTTATTTGTGTGTATTTATTTGTGTGTCCCAGTTCCCCTTCATTCATGTACAGTCAACGCGCCTGGTAAGCACGCGCGCCTTCATCCAGGGTACCCTGGGTGTCTTCATAAGCTTTGGGGGGTACCCCCCCGACGGGGGTCGACCTCGCCTCGTCGTCGCGCTGCGACGGGGGTCGGAGAGCCTTCGGCGCGCGGTGGCTGCCCGCGACGGGGGTTGATGTGGGGGGCTGTCGGCGGGGGTGGCGCCCCCCCGACGCTCATTAAGAAACTCGGAGTACCCTTGTGTCCTTGCCTCTGCGGCCCGTCCTTTGCCGTTTTCGCGGGTCGCCCTCCCCACTGCACGGCTTGATGTGTGCGTCTCTTGGGGTTCCCCAGAGGCGCTCGCGGGATCCTGCGGGGTGACCTCCCCTTCCACGTGATGGTTGCCCCTCCCGGCGCTGCCCCGCGGGCCCCCTCGCCTCCGCCACCCTCGTGGTGCTCGCCTGGCGAGCCGCCCGCCTGGCGCTGCTCGCCCGTCGCCACCTCCGCCACCTCGTGCTCCTCGGACTGATGCTGTTCGAGGTCGTTGGGCCTTCCCTGCATTCCGCGCGAGTCTCCTGTCCCTTTTCGCAGGCCTGGAGGTTGACACCAACACCAATATCGGCGGTGTGCCTCCACCGAGGGAAGAATATTCCGATCTCGGTGATGGTAGTAAGATTCGGGTTTCCTAGGTGGCCGAAATATTACCACCAACACTAAAATCTGGGATCATCTTCCCCAGGTGGAGGCACACCTCCGTGTTGGTGTTGGTGCCCATTTCCAAGCCTCCAACCTTTGCATTTAGCCCACTTAGCCTGTCGCCACCGCCGATCGTCGTCCTTCTCGCCGTCGTCGTCGTCGTCGTCTTCATGGTCTCCGTCGTCCTCTGACCACCCGCACGTCCTCCGCGTCGTGGGAAGGTCGGGGCGGAAGGCTCTTTCGGCACTTGTCGGCCATCGGTGACTCGTCTGCCTTGAGACTTGGCGGGCGGACGGGCGGAGCGAGGCGGCGCGTCCGGGGCGTAGAGTTGTCCATAGCCACCGCCTGCGGAATCGAGCTTCGGGGGCCTGGGGAAGGCAGTGGGCACGGATAGATTCGGGCCCGCGTGGGGGGAGCAAATACGTCCATATCCACCGCGTGCCGAGGCCCCCGAAGAGCGATCCGCCCGGCAGTGGTGATGGACAGGTCCCCGCCTCAGCATCAGGCACGCCTGTTCCAGGACGGCTGGAACGGTTGTGTCCTAGCTGCAGGTTCGTGTCGTGTCGACGCGGCGGCGACCCCCCAGCGCGGGCGTTCAAGGTTGAACGCCGCCAGTGGTCAGGAATTGAGCGATATCGAACGACTTGATGCAATCGAGAAGTTGTGATCGTTCAAGGTTGAACGATCCACGCAGTATCAGAAACCACCGTTCAGCGCAAGTCGTCACGACACGCATCCGCCGTTTGGTGGCACGTCGGGACATTTTTCCAGTTGTATTGAGATAGGCGCCGCCGATGGCAGAATTGGGTATAGTGTACCGTAAGAGTTCGCTTGTTGATAACTAGCCCAGATGAAACATATATGTGATTGTATGATTGGCATCACCTCGTATCGGTGCCGATCAAGGGGATTCCTTCGGCATCTGAGGGCACATTCTTACGACTCATCGCCTTGGACGTGTCAACATTATTGGTAGATAGGGACAGGATTGACGCTGGTTAGTCTAAGCAGGGCTGTGTGTGGGTAAAGGCTGCGCGGCCTTCGTCGTCATGCTTGACTCGTCGGTAGGGTCGGTTTTGCAGACTCCCCTAGCAGGCTGCCATAATATGTTGTCGCTGGTTTCAATGAGTCGAGATTCGGTCACGCCGCTTCGCCGATCACAAGTCTTGGAGCTGCAATGGACTGATCATGCCCTTGGGACAGGGGGAGGGATGAATGGGGGGAAGAGGAATATTGTGGCCCCATTCGTTCCGCGCATGACCGTCAGAAGAACTCCTTCTCGGCAGTGCCCTCACCCCCGAGCTTCCCGCACAGGTGCTCAACCTTATCGACACGCCTGGTCACGTTGATTTCTCGTACGAGGTCTTTTTGTTGCGCATATCGCACCTCGCAGTCTTCTAACAGCGCACCTCGCAGTCGAGAGAAGAGGGAAGGTGGCATCAAAACAGAGCTGGCCGGTTGCCATTGCACCATGCCTTGCAGTATCGGCATATACACATTGGTTCCAAAAGACCATCGTTGAGTGGCATGTGTTGTCTCAGTGCTTCAGGTTTGTGCGCGAATATGCTTCTGATTAAGTCGTGGAGCATATGATAAAGGTGGCATCGATATGTGCACATAATGGGCTCCAGTCGACCCCCCGCGGAATACACGAGCGACGGCGAGCAGAACCGTTCGGGCGTGTGTGTTCTCACGGTGTCCGTATGTATCCCTCGTGCCAGACGAGGCGGCGTGTTGGCAGCGTGTTATCTGTTATCAGAGCGCAGGCATGAAGAACTCGAGCATGCAGCGCGGACCAGCAGGAGGGCAGGGGCCCCCCCCGCACCATCTTGTTCAGACAGCTGCCACGTGCAGATGCCGCCAGACCTTTGGCCACGCGCGGCCCTTTAAAAGGGCCCGCCGTTGGCTGGTGGGTCGGCGCCCGTCTGGGGCCGCTTTGGCGCTATAGAACGTTCTTGAGCTGCCGTGTATCGGACTCCCCTGGAGTCGGTCTTGAGCCTCCTCTCGGGGCAGTCTTGGGCGGTGTGTTTTGGTTTTCGGGGCTCTTCCGGGCTGTCGTCGAGCTCTATGAGGCTATCTTGGCGCCACGGTGCACCGACAAGCCGAACAGGCCATCGGAGGTGAGGGGGTGAGATCGAAGTGGAACGGAGAGCCCCCCTACCGGGAAATCGGTTTCGGTTTCGTGTTCGTGCGTGCCGTGCGTGCGGGCGAGGCGAAGCTGCGCTGGCGGGCGAGAAGAAAGTCTCCTCCGGCTGAGGCACGGCTGGACCAAATGTTTCCTTTCAGGGGGCCGGTGGGGCGCGGTGTCCCGCCGGTGTCCCGCCTCTGGCTGAGGCGCGGCCGGACCAAATGTTTCCTTTCCGGGGGCCGGTGGTGCGCGGTGTCCCGCCAGTGTCCCGCCGGTGTCTCGTCGGTCTCCCGATGATGATGATGATGATGATGATGATGATGATGATGATGATGATGATGATGATGATGTCGATGATGATGATGATGATGATGATGATGATGATGTCGATGATGATGATGATGATGATGATGATGATGATGAGGTGATGGTGATGGTGATGGTGATGGTGATGGTGATGGTGATGGTGATGGTGATGGTGGTGATGATGATGGTGTCCCGATGATGATGATGATGATGATGATGATGATGATGATGATGATGATGATGGTGATGATGATGATGACGATGTTGACGATGTTGATGATGCTGATGATGATGATTATGATGATGATGATGATGATGATGGCGATGGTGGTGATGATGATGAAGCCCCGATGATGGTGTTGATGATGATGTTGCTGATGACGATGTTGATGGTGCCCCGATGATGATGATGATGATGATGATGATGATGTTGATGATCCTGATGATGATGATGAGGGGTTGATGGTGAAATGATGATGATGAAGATGATGATGACGGTGTCCCGAGGATGATGATGATGATGATGATGATGATGGTGATGGTGATGATGATGATTGTGATGAACCTGATGATGATGTTGTTGATGATGGTGGTGATGATGATGGTGACCCGATGATGTTGATGATGGTAACGATGATGGTGTCTCGATGTTGATGATGCTGATGATGAGGTGATGCTGATGATGTTGATGATGGTGGCCCGATGATGGTGATGCTGATGATGTTGATGATGGTGATGGTGTCCCGATGATGATGGTCATGGTGATGATGATGGTGTCCCGATGATGATGGTGTCCCGATGATGATGTTGATGTTGATGATGAGGTTGCTGATGATGATGGTGTCTCGATGATAATGATGATGCTGATGATGATGGTGTTGATGGTGTTGTTCATGATAATGGTCATGAGATGATGATGATGGTGGTGTTCCGGTGATGATGATGATGCTGTCCCGATGATGATGATGATGATGATGATGATGATGATGATGATGATGATGATGGTGACGATGATGGTGTCCCGATGATGATGATGATGGTGATTACGTTGATTGTGAGATCGATTGTGATAGTGATATTGAGATTGATAGTGAGACCGAGTGTGAGATCGACTGTGAGATCGATAGTGAGATCGATAGTGAGATCGATTGCGAGATCGATAGTCATATCGATTGTGAGATCGAGTGAGATCGATGGTGAGATCGATCGAGTGAGATCGATCGAGCGGGACCGATAGTGAGATCGATAGGGAGATCGATAGTGAGACCGATCGAGTGAGACGTTGGTTTCCCCCCCCGAACCTCCTTATCACCCGAAGGGTGGTCGTATAGGTGTACATGTAAAAAGGAGCATACCAATCTGGGTTGTCCAGGGCATCTCTCGTTTGGGAAGCTCTTGTGGGCCTCCTTAAGACCTCCTGGAGCCTCCCGAGGGCCTCCTGTGTCGCCTTCTTGAGCGCTTCTTGGGAGACTCCTGAGACATCGTCGGCTCGTGTTGGAAAAGTTGAACGTATCGAAGGCTCACGCGACTCACCCCGCTACTATTCAGAATTGTTGCATGAGGTTTAGGGCACTCCACTACGTCCTGAAGGTCTGGCGGCGGACCTGCGCGTAGGTCGGCGGGACAGCTTATGGCGTTCCCGTGGGGAACTAGATGGCCATACGTTTATATTGTGTCGAGTGCCCGTCGACCCAGACGCATGCTCCCGTCCACCCTCACCTTTTTACCGAAAGACAATTCAACGTCCACAGTGCGGCAAACGTGGGATCATGCGCGGGCTCACCATCTTTATTCTGCGTGTTTTTTTTCTGAGGAGTGGTTGGGGATCACAGGTTCTGTTGCGCGCTGGCCCACCATCTTTGCCTAAGCCCAGAGTGAAGTGGCTGCGGCGGGAACACAGGCATGCACGACGCCGACCTTCCTGCCGCGATGTCCCACTGGCTTCTGATGGGGCCCCGCGGGGCGCCTCGACGTACATTTCCAGACTTGTGTTGTTGCGTGCTCTGGCACGGGCGGCACACACGGCACGTCCGGAGGCACGTGGCACGAGTGGTGCACCAGGCGCGCCAGACATGGCTTGCCATCGGGGCGCGATGCACATGGCGTTCTTGGCACGCATTCGGACTGCGTTGCGCACCTGGCGTCTGGTTATTGCACCCTTTGAGGCCTTCCTCATCGGATGAAGACCACTGCCTGTGCTGCGCGCCATGTGTTGCTTCCGTCATGGTGGGCGGAGGGGAGTGCGCGTGACAACTTGCGGATCTCCAGCTGGATATTTGACCACGTATTACGGGTGTTCTATTGTCGGGGGTGGACAGAACCCCCAACAGTGACACGTCGATTAGTGAATTGTCCGTTTTCAGTTCTCGAGAGGGCGCCGTGGCCGTTATTTTCCAGGCTTGCGCCCGCCAGGTTTGGGCCTTAGGTCGTTTTCACTAAACCACATTTTACTAATAGGGTTTTTTTCCATCCCCGATATTAGGGGAACGAGCAATGACATAAACATCAAACAAAACTCTGAGGTCCGCGCGGATTGCTCGGACTGCGCGGATTGCCCGCCTCGCGCCGCCGCGTGCCGCCGGTGGCCAGCGCCGGGCTCGTGTCGTGCGGCCGGCTCCCAGCCGCACGCGCACTCCAGCGGGGCTCGCGGGCCAGCTCCAGAGGCTCTTCGCAGGCCTAGAGGTTGACACCAACACCGAGATCGGCGGTGTTCCTCCACCGAGGGAAGAAGATCCCGATCTCGGTGATGGTGGTAATATTCTGGCTTCCAAGGTGGGCGAAATACTACCACCAACACCGAAATCTAGGATCACCTCCCCCCTGTGGAGGCAGCCCTCTGTCTTGGTGTTGGTGCCCATTTCCAGGCCTCCCAGCTCTCCGAGTGAGCCCGGACCTGCACCATAAAGCCTTGGAAGATCAGGCGACAGCCGAGGAACTCCGACGAACACCACTCTGGATCCTCAGCGAAGCCGCTCCTCAGAAGACCGTCTCAGAAGGCGGCGGGACTGCTGAGAAGCCCTCGCGCCTTCTGCAACGTTTTTTGTTCTGTCGTCGGGGAAGGCCCAGAAGACTTCTCGGAAGGCCGGAGGACTTCCGAAGCTCCTGAGAAGGCCTCCTCCTTCTCACTTCCCCCCCTCGCTCGCCGCCGACAACCGCATACGCACACCAACCCAGACGCCTGGCTTGCCCAGAAGCGGCTTCGTTGGACAAAGTTTGGTACGCGGGTGGGGGGTCCGCTTTTTTCTGAGGATCCAGAGTTATGTTCGTCGGAGTTCCTCGGCTGTCGCCTGATTTCCCAGGGTTTTATGGTGCAGGTCCGGGCTCACTCGGAGAGCCTCTGTTCGGAACCCCCTCCAGGAATGTTTCTTGCGCAGGTCGTCCGCAGGAAGGGCGACCCTGATCTGAAGTCGGGCATGTCCCTCTACAAAAGGACTACTCAAGAAGAGTAAAAATGAGCATGGTGACGATTTGTCGTGCTCTTTTGATCATTGTTTTTGTTTTGATTATCTGTCTTCCAAAATCCGCCTGTAGGAGGACATGCCCGACTTGACCTTGATCGGGTTTTGCGGTCTGGGATGGGGGGAGGAGACCGTTGCGCCGCTTCGTGCTGGCTCGCAGCGCCAGCGCTGATCTCTGAGACCGCCAACACGATCACCAGCCCAATTTCCTCTCAATCCTCCAACGCGGGGCGGGCGCGGGCGGCGGCGGCGGCGGCGGAGTGGTGGACGGGAGGACATTGCTGCCGAGGCGCGGGCTGCTTGTACTCTCCAGCGAGGGCGGCGTCCGGGGAATCTCCTGGGGCCCACACTTCAGGGGGCGCAGAACGGTGTAAAATGAGCGTGTCCGCCGTCGGGGACGCCTGCGCCCCAGGCGGCTGCAAAGTTTGCACCCCTACGTTGCCACGCAGTTGGGTCTGAAGTTTCCAGCCGCCCCGGGGGCAGGCGTCCCCGACGGCGGACGAGGTCATATGTTCCAATGTTCCTCGCCCGCGGAACACTGGACCCTCCCCCCCCGGGGAGCCCTGCAGGGACGAGGGAGGCGCCCCCTCGGGGAGCGCAGGCGACGGGCGGCGGCGGAGGCAGCAGCGGCAGCGCAGGCAGCCGCCGTCTGAGCAGCAGCCCGGCGAGGGCGCGGCGGCCCGCAGAGACCGCGGCCACTGCGCCCACGGCCGCCGCCAGCGGCGCCCGCGGCCGCCGCGAGGGCCCGCGCCGCCGAGCAGCGGCGACGACGGCGGAGGGACGCCGCTCTCGGGCGACCGCGCGCCCAGCCCATGGATCGCCAGGCTACGACCGCGGGCTCCTCCTCCTCCTCCTCCTCCTCCTCCTCCTCCTCCTCCTCCTCCTCCTCATCCTCATCCTCATCCTCATCCCTCCTCCTCATCCTCCTCCTCCTCCTCCTCCTCCTCCTCCTCCTCTCGTGGAGGCGCGAGCGGCGGCGGCGGCGGCGGCGGCCCCCGGCCAGGTGAGCCGCTCCCTGGCGGCCTGCGAGGGGGCCCTGCTGGTCGTGGACGCCTCGCAGGGCGTGGAGGCCGCCCCCCGGGCCACGGGGGCGCGGCCCCCGGGGGCACCCGCGCCTCGGGAGGCCGGGCCTCGTTGCGGTTCCTCCGATGCGATTCGCTTCGAGCGCGATGGCGTCCGATGCCGGTGCGATGCGCCTTCGGATGCCGACGTGGGGTACCCGGCTGCTCAGCGGATGCCTGCTGGCCTGCCGAGTTCCGCCGATTCGATGTTTCCCCGACCTGGCTGCCGAGTTCCGCCGATTCGATGTGAGATGTATTTCGATCGCCGATCCAACTCATCGATTTGATTCTGGGCTCTCCTGCGGGACCCCTTCTCTCAAGGGGCAAGACACGGCGCAGGCCAGGCATCCGGCGCCCCGAACACAACCGGCCGTGGTCACGAGGGCCCCGCCCCCCCTTGGAGGCCTCCTCCGAGGCGGGGATTATACCTGGCCGCCGCCTGGAGCTTCAGTTTTCGGAGCGTCGGCAGGCGGTGGATCTGGACATGTTCGGGCCCCCGGGGGCCGAAATGTATCCATATCCACCGCCCGCTTGGGCACCAGGACGTCGGTTCCCAGGCGGTGGATATTGATAAATCCCCGCCTCGCACCTCCTCCCTCAAGAAAGCGCAGCGCCGAACCCACCCCGCCCTTCGAAGGGCGGCGGTGCTCACCAAAGAAAAACAACACCATAACACCAGAGAAAAACCCAGATCAGTGGATGGTTGGATATTGCATCGATCAAGAGATCGATAAGGAGATCGACCAGGAACCCGGGAACCCGGAACCCACCGAAATCGGCACAGAACCCGGGAACCCGGAACCGGGAACCCGGGAACCCAGCCAGCTACCAAAATCGGCGGGAAATGTTCGTCAAATTTTTCAATTTTCGCTAGGACCCCTTCAGTGCAAGCACTGATTGGGGAAAACACCATTAACATTAACTTTTGCTGCCCCGCGCTGGTTTCTTTGATCTGCGCTGGGTCCTCCCCGGCGGAGCGCGCCAGGGAAGGGGGCTCAGCGCAAATCCAAGAGATCCCGCGGAGCGCCAACAGTTTGTGTGTAGAGCGTTTTTTTCTTCTTCTGGCCTCCTCGAAGGGCGGCGGTGCTCAGAGGGCTCGAAGCGCTTGCTCTGCAGCAGTGGCGGCGACGACGACCGACGCAAACACCAACGACACGACGCCACGACGGCAGCCGACGGCATCGACCGATCGACCGACAAAAATCGAGGCGGCCGATTGTCGCAATGTTTGGCGCATGGGGGCCAGATTCGGGCGTTGAGGGCCGTCAAGAGACAGTTCGGGATGGAACAACACTCTCCCAGGGAAGGGGTCGAGGTGAGGTGCCCACGCGCCTAACAAAAAGTCAAAGGAGAGCGTTCGGGCAACATGTCTTTCTAGAGGTCCAGGGAATTCTTGTCGGGCTGGCGTTGACTCCCCTTGGCGGTGCCCCCCAGCGTTGCGCCAATGCGAAGCATCCGCGCAAACTTCCGAAGCTGTTTGTTTTGTTTGTGGGGTCCAAGATGTGGTATCCAGTGGAGCAGCACGTCATGATTCGGGCCGGGCGAAAGGGGGGGATTGGGAAAGGGGGGGTTACGAGATTTGCTGCATGCAGCTGGTTTCGGCCTCACCGAGGGGCCCATTCCTCGATACATGGCCGCCTCCGGCGCCGGGAGGCGCCGGGAAAATCAGCTACGTGAGCTGATTCTCAACCCCCCCCTTTGCTATCCCCCCCTTTCGCCCGACCCGAATGATGAGATGTCGCATGCCGTCCCACACGTCACGTGTTTCCCCGATCTGCCAGATTGCCTGCTGCTCTGGGTGGGCTCCGGAAGCGAGGGCCGCCACACCTTCTGGATGTTGCAGGAGGAAAAAAACACACAGACACAAGTAATCGTCGATTCCCCAGAAAATATGGGAAAACGTGGGAATTGGGGGAAAGACAAAAACCCAGAAAATATGGAAACATATGGGGGATATTTTGATTTGTGTGTATTTATTTGTGTGCCCCAGGGCCCCTTCAATGTTTTGGAACGTGTTCTGAGCCAATCGCGTCATTACCGCATTCTCGTCCTAGTCATTCGGCACCCGTCGCCGTCATTTCGGATGTCCTCTAGGCGTCTATGGTGGATCCCGTCGCCACGGCTGCACGCAGGCAGAGAAACCCACCAGAAGTATGTCCACCAAGGGCTGATTTTGAGCGGGCTCGTGTCGACGTCGCCGTAGGCCGTAGTCATCGTCGAGAATGGCGACTTCGGAGCCAGATGTCGAGGATATCTATGTTATTTGCATCTTTGGGTCTTTCGTGGGGCCCCGGGGAGGCTCCCTGGTCGGTCTTGACTGGACCACAGCGCTAATTCGGATCCAGCGGCGTGTTGGGGATTGGAGCAGTCTTCTTAATAACGTTGTTTTGTATTCCCGACGTCGGGCAGGCGGCAGGGTGATCTCTGCAAGAGCTGTGTGAACGCAGTGGGAACGGAAAGGCAAGAGGCAGATGGCCAGGAGCTGGTCCTGGACCAGACACTATCACATATTCGGCACCCCGAACGAGTAAGAGGCGTTTGTCTTCAAAACGGGCAGAGGCACGCCTTCAGCGTGTTCGCAACATCTACACGCCTCCCAGACTTCCTAGCGTCTTTCGAACATCATGACGCAAGGTTTCCGGATCGGTTCGGCCTCCTGGGGCCCCCTTGCGGGGCCCTGGCACCGTGAGAGAACGACGCAGGCTAAAACCACGGCCGTGCAAGAACGGCCGTGAAGCCACAAAGAAGAGGAGGAGGACGAGGACGAGGACGAGGAACAGGAGGAGGAGGAACAGGAGGAGGAGGAACAGGAGGAGGAGGAGGAGGAGGAGGAGGAGGAGGACGAGATGGAGGAGGAGGAGGAACATCAGGAGGAGGAGGAGGAGGAGGAGAAAGAGGAGGAGGACGTGGAAGGCCGAGCCTCCCTCCCTCCGCCCCATGGGGAGCGAGAGCCCTGGCCTCGCCTCCTGGGAGCGACGGAGGCCCAGACGCTGGCCAACGTGACGCTGGCGATGGAGAACGACCTCGAGATCCTGCCCGTTGCGGGCCTAGCCTCCTCCTCCCCCCCTCCCCCTCCTCCCCTCCTCCTCCTCCTTCTCCTCCTCCCTCCTCCTCCTCCTCCCGCCTCCTCCTCCTCCCCCCCCTCCTCCTCCTCCTCCTCCTCCTCCTCCTCCTCCTCCTCCTCCTCCTCCTCCTCCTCCTCCTCCTCCTCCTCCTCCTCCTCCTCCTCCTCCTCCTCCTCCTCCTCCTCCTCCGCCCCCCCTCCTCCTCCCCCCCCCTCCTCCGCCCTCCTCCTCCTCTTCCGCTTCCTGGACTTCGCCCCCCTGCCGGCTCAGTTTTCCCCTGGTCTACGCATTCCATCGTCCTGATTGCTCGGGGGTGGACAAAACCCCCAACAGTGACACGTCGATTAGTGAATTGTCCGTTTTCGGTTCTCGAGAGGGCGCCGCGGCCGTTATTTTCCAGGCTTGCGCCCGCCAGGTTTGGGCCTCAGGTCGTTTTCGCTAAACCACGTTTTACCAAAGGGAGGTCCGTCCATCCCCGAGTTGCCCCTGCAGTCTTCATTCTGTTTGTTCCTCGCGGGGCCTTCGGGGCCCAGCTCACTGCACGGCGGCGTGGTGTGCCGCGCCGCCGGCAGAGGTGGCGGGCGGCGGAGGAGGAGGAGGAGGAGGAGAAGGAGGAGGAGGAGGAGGGGGAGGAGGAGGAGGAGGATGAGGAGGAGGAGGAGGAGGAGGAGGAGGAGGAGGAGGAGGGGGAGGAGGAGGAGGAGGAGGAGGAGGAGGAGGAGGAGGAGGAGGAGGAGGAGGAGGAGGAGGCGGGCCGAGAGGTGCCCCCCTCTCCAGCGGGTGGCGGCGCGAGGGCACGGGGGCGCCGCGCCTGGCGGGGGATCGCGCGATGCGCGAGGTGCGGGTCGAGGGCCCCGTTCTCGTCGGGGCCCTTTCGCCCCTGCTTCACGGAGCCCTCTCGACGCGCGAGGGCGCGGTGCGCGAGCATCAAGAGCGGGGAGCCCGCTCTTCCCTTGTCCCCACGAGCGTCCGTAGCCATTTTGGCTCAAGCCCTTTGGGGTCGAGTCCGTGCCCATCTCTCGAGGTGGCTGACAAAGAGCCTGTTGGTGCTTGTGGGAGGCGCGGCCTGGCCAGTGATCCTGGGTCTGTTCGTGGCCCACAATTTTCTTGTGAGCTCCTGGTGGAGTAGAAATACTCGCCGAGCGCGTTCCACTACTCGCAAACGTCAGAAAAAAAACACTTGTCTGCTCTGCCGTAATGTATCATAACTCCCTTGCGGGGGATCCAGGCCATTTGCGAGTCGTTACTCTGCCATTAGTGGAACGCGCTCGTCTAAATACGCGACCGTACCACCGTGCGGCCAGATCCATGGACGCTGCCAGACCCATGGGTCGCAGACGCGGCCCGTGGGCCGAAGCAGCCTCTCCTGAGGTTGCCAGCAGTGCGAGCTCACGCCGAGCTGGGCTTGCCGCCCGCGCCGCCGCTGCGGCGCCGGGCCCTCGCGGCGGTGGCTCCGCTGGCCAAGAGGCCATCTTGAGGCCTCGGCGAGCCAGCCAAAAGCATTGACTGTCCTAAGGTTTTAAAAGAATTTTGGCCTCTTCGGGGCCGAGCTCTTTGGCCACTTGGAGCCGTCTTTGAGCGGTCTTGGGGCCTCTTGGAGCATCGTGGGCGCCATCTTGAGGCATCTTGGGATATCTTGAGCCATCTTGGAGGTCATGTTTGGCTCTCGCAGGCGCTCTTGGAGTCATCTGAAGCAGTGCCCCCCCCAGGAGGCCAACATGTGGCCAAAACCTTAGTAACATCAGCGATTTTGGCATTGTCGCCGAAGCCTCTTGGAGCGTCTGGGGGCCTCTGGGGGGCCTCTTGGGGCCTCGTGGAGGTCTCTTGGAGGTCTCTTGGGAGCCTCTTGGGGGCATCCTGGGTGCATCCTGGGGGCCTCTTGGGGCTTCCTGGCCACCTCTTGGGGCCCTCTGGGGGCACCCTTGGGGGCCTTGGGTGCCATCTTTGGGCCATCTTGGGTGAGATCTATCACAGGAGGGGGGGTACTAATTACAGTCCCCCCCTCAGGAGGCCAAAGTGGGGCCAATGCCCTAGTACAAAAAATGATTTTGGCTTCCTCGCCGAGGCCGTTTTGGACGCTCCGACGACTCGCGAGACCCCCTGTCCAGGTCCAGGGGAGGAGGAGGGGGGGTAGGGGGAGGGGTAAACCCTTCCCCGAAGGGGAAGAAGGAGGGGTGGAAGAGGAAACTCCCCGAACCACCGACGCCCGACGCCCAGAGGGCTGGTGGGACTAGCGAATTGGCCGGCGGGCAGAGAGGGGCGGGGGGAGGGCGGCCAGAGGAAGATGGGGCGCTCAGACGCTGAAGAGTTCGACGATGAGCAGCCGGGGGGGGGGGGGGCAACAGCAACCAAGCGCAAAGGGCCAGAGCACAGTGGGCGGCCGCGGCGAACCGCGGCGGCAAGGGCGGCGGGAGGAGGGCCGCCAGCAGCTGGAGCCGGCAGGCGGGCGCAGTGGGACGCCACGAGCGGCAGATGCACCGTGGCGCGTCGAGGAGTCGGCGCAGCACTGAGCCACGCGGAGGCGGGAACGGTGGCACAGGCAGCGGCAGGAGTGCTGCGGCGGCCCGGGGCGCGGCAGGTGGCCAGGGGGCCGGGCGAAGTGGGGCAGGAGGCGGCGGGCGAGGCACCCCAGGCGCCCGCGGGCGGCGGGGCGGAGCAGCAACGCAACGGGAGGAGGAAGCGCGGGCTGCCGGAAGGAGGTGGTACCCTCACCCGGATTTCTCCTCGTCGTTCGTTTTATCTTAACGAGATCTCCCAGCTCTCGCAGTCGCTGTCGATCCTTCTCGTCGGCGGTGGCTGGCTGCGAGCAGGGATTGGGCGTTGGCCTCGTCCCTGGTGGAGTTGGCGCAGGCGAGCACGAACGGCTGCTTCGAGACTGCTGGTGCCGCTGGCTGTTGGTAATTAGGCCTTAAAGACCAGAAGTTTGCCTGGTTGCACTTCGCACTCGCCGACGACTGGTTTCTTTAGTCGGGCATATCCTTCTACAGGAAAAATTTCCAAAATAGTAAAACATGGTTTGGAGACGATTGCGCTATTATCTTTTGCCTATTTTGACATGTTTTTCACTAACTATCAGTTTTCGTTCAATATCCGCCTGTAGAATAACATGCCCGACCTACGACTGGTTGCCCCCGCTGGCACCTGAAGGCCCGACGCAGGACTTGCAGCACCACTGGCAAGGGCACTGGTCTGCTCGAGACCGCGCAGGCGGCGCCATCGGTCGTGCTGTGAAGCAAGCACTGAAGGTAAAGGGTGCTGGAGACCGCAGGTGCTTCGTGGAGCAGCTGGCAGTCCGCGCGCGCTCGCGCCAAAACGGACACGGAAGTCGGCGGCGAGCGAGGGGAGGAGAGAGAAGGAAAAAGCCTCTCAGAAGGTTCGGAGTACCCCCAGCTTTTGAGGAGTTTTCTGGGCCCTCCCCGAAGACAGAAGAAACCTCAGAGGCGCGAGGACTGCTGAGAAGTCCCGCCGCCTTCTGAAGAGGCCTTCTCCTTCTCATCTCCCCCCCTCGCTCGCCGCCCAGTTGTGCTGAAGACCGCAGGCCCTTCTTGGAGCAGCCGGCAGCCCGCGCGCGCGATGGAGTCACGCCGGACACGGAAAAGGGGGCGGAGGGAGGGAATGGTCCAGGGGCCAGCGGCCAGGGTTAAGTCGGGCCTGTCCCTCGACAGGAGGGATATTCGAAAATAGTCAAAACATAGTCCAGGGACGATTCTTTTGGTAGTTTCCTGGCATTCTAGAGTATTTGTTTGACTATTCCTAGATTTTTCGCCCAAGATCCGCCTGTAGGGGGACGGGCCCGACCTAAGGCCAAGGGAGGGGGGGAGGGGGAGCGGGGAGGGGAGAATGGGGAGGGGGAGGGGGCCATGGGCCAGGGGCCAGGGGAGGGGGAAGGGGGGAATGGGGGAATGGGAGGGGAACGGGCGAGGAGCAGGGAGGAGCGAGCCCAGAGCGAGGGCGGGCAGCGCTCCCTCGGGCGGGCCCCCTCCCGGCGCCCCCTCCCTCGGCGACGAGGTCCTCAACAAGATCGACCTGCCCCACGCGGACCCGGACCGCGTCGCCAGCGAGATCGAGGACACGGCGCCTCCGCCCGCCGAGCGGCCGCGCGCTGGCGACCGCAGCGGGGGGGGCGCATCGCCCCGGCAGTGGGTGGGGGGAGGGAGCGTTGCAGGCAGGTGTCGCAAGGGGCTCCGATCGCCGGTGTGCTCCTCTATGACTCCTCCTCCTCCTCCTCCTCCTCCTCCTCCTCCTCCTCCTCCTCCCCCTCCTCCTCCCCCTGGCCTCCTCATCCTCTCTCTCTTCCTCACCCCGCCTCCCCCTCTCAGGCCGAATGCTGCCAGAAGCCCCCCTGGCCCAAGGCGCCCCCAGGATCTCTGAGGAGGCCCACACGGCCTCCGGAGCACCCCGGTCTGAGGAGGCCCACACGGCCGCCGGAGTCGCACGAAAAAAGCTGGGGGCTCCCTGGGCCAGGAGAGCTCCTGTAGCAACCCCCCACCCTCACTCCCTTGGTGGGCGTGTTTGCCACCACCACCACCATAAGTTGGAGGGGGGAAGGAGGAGGACGAGGAGAGAGAGGACGAAGAAGAGGAGGAGGAGGAGGAGGAGGAGGAGGAGGAGGAGGAGGAGGAGGAGGACCCCCTTCCCTCCAACTTATGGTGGTGGTGGTGGTGGAAAACAAGCCTATCATCCCTCCTCCAGCCTGGCCGATGGCACCTCCGGTGCGCACGGCAGCGTTCCTCTGGCGCGGCCCGCCGGCTGCGCGGGGGGGCCCGTGCCCGAGGGCGCCGCACGGACGCTCGCCACTCGCCCGCTCACCCCCGTGCTCGTTGCTCCTCCCCGCCTCCCTCCCTCCATCCCCACGTCGCTCCCTGCCTCCCTCCAGCCCTTCCTCCCTTGCTCCCTCTCCTCCTCCCTTCCTCTCCTCCTTCCTCCCCTCCTCCGTCACCAATCGTTCCCTCGTCCCCATACTCGCTCCCTCCCTGTCTCCCTTCCTCCTGCAGTCGGGGAAGAAGCAATGACAGCATCCTAGAAGCCCTGAGGTCCGCGCGGGTTCCTCGGTTCGGCGCTTGTTCCTTCCTCCCTCCCCTCCCTCCTGCGGTCGGGGAACAGGCAATGGCAGAACCATGACAAACATCGGAGGTCCGCGCGGATTCCTCGGATCGGCGCTGGAGCCCCCTGGCGGCGCGTCCAGCGCCGCCCCTGGCGCGCTCCACGCGCCAGGGAGGGGGTCGGAGGCGACGATAGAGGCAAACATCCCAGGGGGGAGCAATACATATATCCAGGGGCGCTGATGACCCATGTCTTCGGCGAGGCTCCTGGGCGAATAATTACGTGTAATGCCCGCCCCTGGGCTATTCGCCCCTATCGTCGCCGCCGGGGGGGTTCCAGCACCGATCCGAGGAATCGGCGCGGACCTCCGAGCTTTCCTGTTTACGTCATCGTTTGTTTCCGGATTTCTTCCTGCAAAGAAAAAGCAGAGTGCTCGGGGGCGGCAAAGACGGGGGTGATGACTAGGAAGGGGGGTATCATGGCGGGGGCCATGATATTTCTCCAGACGTAATGGCGTCTCTTCTTATCTCATCACGTCCCTGGCCCCCCCCCTGGGCCGCGCACTTGCCGCCGGCCATGTTTTGCGCCCCCCCCCCCCTCTCTTGGACGCCCCCCTCTTGGCCGCCCCGGGTGTGATAACAGTTGAGGCTTCAAGGACGAGGTGAGGACACCTGCGAGTCCGTTGTCTTCCTCTCAGAGGCCAGCAGCATATGTACACGTACGCGGTTAGCTTCCCCTGGAGTGCGTGTCAACGCGGACGTTCGTGCAGGCAAGACCGCGGAGGGCGTACATGTACATATGTCGTTGCTCGCCCATCCTCCTTTTTCCTGAGAGCGCAGTGCGGGTGCAGGAGCCCTGGCCCAGGCCCGTGGCCACGCGCGGGGGACCCCTTCCCGGAAGGACGCCCTGAGTCTGGGCGGCGCCTGCCCTCGCCCCTTCCCTCGCTGCCCTCCCTCCCCTGCCTCCGAAGCCCGGACGCGGAGTACACCTTAGGCGATGCTTAAGAAAACCCAAGTTTTCGGCCAGCGCCTCGATGATTCTCAACGTTTCATTGCAAATCTTAAGATTTTGAATAGAACTGTGGGGTTTTTATTACTCCAGTTCTGAGAGTACGGATTGCGGAGCCCACGATTTCTGAAGCATCTCGCAGGGGGTACGGGCCCGCCGTGGTCGTGGGCCCCTCTCCCCCCCGCGGGCGGAGATCGGCATCGAGTGCACCGAGGCCATCCACTGCTCCGCGAAAGCCGGCATCGGCGCCGCTCTCGGGCGGCCGGCGGGCACGGTCGAGATCCCAGGCAGAGGGCGAGGCGTGCCCTCCTCCCTCCTCCCTCCTCCCTCCTCCCTCCTCTCCTCCCTCTCTCCCTCCTCCCTCCTCCCTCCTCCCCCCTCCCCCTTCCCCCCTCCCCCTCCCTCCCTCCCCCCTCCCCCCTCACCCCCTCCCCCCTACCCGCCTTCCCCCCCCTCCCCGCCTCCCCCACCAACTGAACTCAGAAGCCCCGATCATCAGGGGTAACTCGGTCAGGGATAACTCGGGTTCGTTTGTTTTTTTTTCGGGATCTAACCCGACTACCCCGACCCGAGTTACCCCGGATAACTCGGGCGTCCAGAGCCCCGAATCATCAGGGGTAACTCGGGTCAGGGATAACTCGGGTTCGTTTGTCGGGAATCCAAGCCTGAGTTACCCCGGACCCGAGTTACCCCGGATAACTCGGGCGTCCAGAGCCCCGAATCATCAGGGGTAACTCGGGTCAGGGATAACTCGGGTTCGCTCGTCGGGAATCCAAGCCCGAGTTACCCCGGACCCGAGTTACCGCGGATAACTCGGGCGCCCAATGAACGGGCGAAGAACGGTATAAAATAAGTTTTTCCGCTGTCGGGGGCGCCTGGGGGAGGTGTCCCTGACGGCGAACAAGGTTACGTTATACCGTTCTTCGCCCGTTGAGCGAAATGCCCTTGGAGCATTTCTGGCTGAGGCTGTCTTGTTTTGTTGGCACATCGGGTCCATGTTCTAAGCACCTGTTTCTGTTACGCGAGCGCTTCGCTCATTCCACCGGCCCGTATGGTGCCTTCGCTGGCGTTTGGGCTTCTGGGGGCCGTTTGGGGTCCTCGTTGGGGGTTTCTTGGGCCTCTTGGGTTTCTGTTGGAGCCTCTTTTGGGTTTCTTGGAGCTCCCTTGGGAGCATTTGGGAGCCTCTCGGGGCTTCTGGGAGCCGCTTGGGAGCTTCTTGGGGGCCTCGTGAGGGCCTTTTGTGGGCCTCCTGGGGCTTCGAAGCGGCCTCTTGGCGCCTCCTGGGGGCTTCTTAGGGCCGAGGGCTCGACATGCTGTTTCGTGTTGGACGGGGCAAACTTGGAAACATCCCACGAACAAATGGAACATCGGGGGGGTGGGCAAGGCGGGAAATTCTGGAGCAGAAGACCTGGACATGTTCCAGCCAAACTAGGAAAATGAAAGTCAAACCTAGAAATTGTTTGGGGCAAAGCCGGGACTTGCATTGGCGTAGCGGTGGTGGAGGTTGGCAGATGGAGAGTGGGGAGGGGGTGGTGGGGGAAGCGAGGAGGGAGGGGAGGGAGGCCAGAAGCAGGAGGCAGGAGGCAAGAGGGAGGGAGGAGGGAGGAGGGAGGCGGGAGCAGGAGGAGGTGGATGAGAGAGGAGGGAGGAGGGAGGGAAGAGGCATGAGGGAGGAGGGAGGAAAAGGAAGGGGAGGCAGGAGGAAAGGGGAGGAGGGAGTAGGGTGGAGTGGGGCGGGGGGCATAGCCCGTGGCGCGCCCTGCGGCCGGCCGCTGGACGAACAATAAGGCACGCACGCGGCCACCTGCGCCCTGGGCGGCGGCGTGGAACGCCGCCGCAGCAGCCTCGAGAGCGCGGTGGCTGGCCTGCTTCGCCGCTGGCTGCACCAACAGCGGGTGACGGAGCAACGGGTGCCGGCTTGGGACCGGACCCACAGCCGGCGGCCAGCGGAACCGCCAGACGCGGACCTCCTCGAGCGCGCGGTCGTGGATGTCGAGTGCGACGACGGGGCTAGCCGCCCCTGGATCGATGACTCGGTCCGCAACCTTGCAGCCGAGGACGTGGTGCACGCGGCGGCGCGCCGGCTTCGCGAGGCCGCCAGGAGAGACGAGCGCCAGAAACACGCCAGGTACCCGGGGGACAGATTGACGCCATTCTTGGTGGAAGCCCCGGGGCGCCTCGGCGGTGAGGCCAGGCAGTGGCTCCTGCGGCAGGTGCGTACGCTGCCGGCAGACCAGCAGCTCGGCGAGCTGACGCGGGCCTACAAGGCCATCAGCGGCGCCGTGCAAGCTCAATTGGCGCTGCAGCGCCGCCGAGCAGCCGGGCTGGCCTGAAGCCGCGGGGAGCGGCCCGCCCAGGCTGCCTCGCCGGGCTGATTCCTGGCCAGGGCCAGGCCGCTACCTGGAACAAGCACAGGCAAGGTGAGCGCGCCTGTCCTGGTGCATAGTTTTGTGGTTCAGTTCCCCCACCTCCCCGTTCCTTGCTCCGGGCGGGCGCACGCGCGCGCCCCAGGGGGGGTCGGGTGGCGCGCGCCCCTGCGCCGCGCGCCCGTCCTTTCCCTCTTCCGGTTCCTTCCTCCTCCGTCTTCCTCCAATAGGTCGTCTTCCCAGACGTGCGATGCAAATGTTTCCGCTTTGTGTTTTACTTTTTGGGGAGGGGGCCCTGTCCTGTCCCTCGGCGCGCCGCCTACGCAAAGCCGTACCGAGGGGCGACAAAATGCGATTGCCCCCCTTCGTTCGTTTACAGACTTCTTTTGCACGGCTCCCTTAGCGCGCGCTGTGGACTTGCTTCGCGCGCCTGGCCCTATAGTGGACACCCATTACAAAGTGAGGCGGGCGCTGGGGCCGCGGGCTCGGGAGGGGGAGGGGGAGGGGGAGGGGAAGGTGAAATGGTGAGGAGGAAGGAGGAGGGCGGAAGGCATGAGGAGGAAGAAGGAGGATGAGTGGATGATGATGGAGGGTAGGAGGAGAAGGCGGAGGCGGAGGATGTAAGGACAGGAGAGGAGGTATGAGGTAGAGGAGGAGGAGTGATGAGAGGGGAGGAGGTGGATGGGTGGGGGGAGCTAGGGAGGAGTGAGGAGGAGTGAGGGAGGAGGAGGAAAACAAAAAAAAGAAAAGTGAGGAGGAAGAGGAGGAGAGGAGGTGGGAGGAAGGAGGATGAGGAGGGGGCGAAGGGAGTCTGGAGGAGGAGGAGAGAGGAGGATGAGGGAGGATGAGGATGAGGAAGAGGACGAGGAGGGGAGTAGGAGGGGGAGGAGGAGGAGGAGGGAGGAGGAGGTATAAGGATGGATTATGGAGGAAGGAGAGGAGGAGGGAGGAGGAGCAGGAGCAGGAACAGTCTGCAGAGCAAGGAGCAGGAACAGGACCATGAGCAGGACCTGGAGTGCAGGAGCAGGAAGCAGGAACAGAAACAGGGAGCATGAACAGGAGGAGGAGGAGGGAGGAGGAGGAGGAGGAGTAGGAGGAGGAGGGTAGAGGAAGGAGGAGGAGGAGGAGGGGGAGGAGGAGGGGGAGGAGCAGCAGCAGCAGCAGCAACAGCAGCAGCGGCAGCACGAGCGGAGGCAGGGGCAGGCACCTGAGGACCAGGAGAAGAGGACGAGCGGGAGCAGGAGCTGGAGCAAGAGGCGGATCGGGAAAAAGGAAATGGAGGAGAAGGAACAGCAGCAGGACCAGGAGGCGAAGCGGAAGCAGGAATCGGAACAGTAGAAGTATCCGAAGGAGGAGCGCAGGAGAAGGCCTACCGCGGCCCATCTCGCGACGTCGATCCTGCGCCATCTGGTTTGGCGAATGAGCGCCATATTGCCGCCTGTGTGCGCGCGGCTGTCTCCACTTCTGCGCCCCAGCACTGCGCATCCGGCAACGTGGGCATCTGGAGCCCGTGCGAGCGGCAGGCTTGCCCCCCAGACAGGACCGAGCGAACACGGGTGAGTCGCCCCACCGCCCAGTCCGCACCAACTGGGCACTGGAGACGCACGTCGCCTGGGCCACCGCCTGCGACGTCGCCGTCGCGCACGATGCCCAGCGTGGGTTGCGAGCGCACCGCCCGCGCCAGGTGTGGGCCTGGCCACCTGTCGCGCCAGGAGGAGGCCCCTTCTGCCAATCCCGCGCCGCCCTGCGAGCTAGGTGATTCCCCCGCGCACAGGGCGCCGCACGGCGGGGCGTCGCCCGCCTCCGACGGCAGGCTGGTTGCAGCGCCCACCACGCGCGACGGGCCAGCGCGGCCGAGCGTCCCGCAGGGCGGCCTCGCCGTCGTGGTCGTGGTGGTGGTCGCCGTCGCTGCCGGCGTCGCCGTCGTGGTCTTGACCGTGGTCGCGGTCGTTCTCCCTCGTGGGCGCGGTCGGCGCTGAAGTGGCCGTCGTCGTGTTCGGGTGCGCCGTCGTCGTGGTCATGGGCGCCGTCGCTGGCCCGCCGCCGTCGTCGTTGGGCGGCCGCGCCGAGGCATCAGGGACATTTTGGACGAGATCATCGCAAAGATCCCTTCGCCCTCGTCGGACCGTTCCGCGCGCGCGCCCCCGCCGCGCGCTGGGGGTCTTCGCTGGAGGATCGAGCGAGCATCGGGGAGGCAGCCGAGGCAGGCGAGGCGCCGCGAGCGCGCAAGCCGCCCCTTCCCCTGCGCCATGGGGGGGCAGGACCCTTCCCTCTACAGGAGGAATCTTCAAACATGGTCAAACACTACTATGGGGACGATGTTTCGCCTACGTTCCCCAAGCAGAACTTGCCTCTGTAGGCGTCCTAGCGGGTTCATATGGTTAGGTGAGGTTTGCCACCGATGTCCTCGGCCCGCCTGGGTGTTTTAGAACCATGTATCCGTATAGCTCTATAGCCCTGTAGCCTTATAGCCCTAGAGCCCTGTAGTCCTATAACCCGATAGCCCGATAGCCCTATAGCTCTATAGCCCTATACCCCTAAAGCCCCATAGCCCTATAGCCCGTCTGCCAAATAGCCCAATAACCCTATAGTCGTATAGCCCTGTAGTCCTATAGCCATATAGCCCTATAGCCCCATAGCCATATAACCCTATAGCCCCATAGCCCCAAAGCCCCATACCCCTCTAGCCCTATAGCCCGATAGCTTTATATGCCTACAGCCCTCTAGCCTCATAGCCCTATATCCCCATTGCCGTACAGCCCTATGGCCCTACAGTTGTATTGCCCCATGGCTCTATAGATTGATAGCCCTATGGCTCGATAGCCCCATAGCTCTATAGCCCTACAGCCCCACTGCTCTATGGCCCTGCAGCCCTATAGACCTATGGCCCTATAGCCCTATAGTTCCATGGCCCTATAGCCTCATACCCCCATATATACATATATACATACATATATGGTGTTTGGGATTTTCCTCCAGTATCATATGACTATGTCTGAGTATGTTTGGGTATGTTTCATTTGTCGGGTGGGTGGGGGGGGGGGGGCCCTCAGTATCCGAGACCCCCCGTGTGGACTTCTCCAAGGCAGTCGGATTTGAGGGTCTTCTCTCTCTCTCTCTCTCGCTCTCTCTGTCTCTCTCTCTCTCTCTCTCTCTCGTAATGATTGTAGTTAGTGTCGGTGTTCATGATGGGACCAGTTCCTGCGCAGGGGTTTCCTATGAATGGCGCTGAGGGGCCTTTCGGCGCACCTCTCGCAGATTCGGATTATGAGCAGAAGCGTCGAGAGAAGATGCAGGAATCCCAAGGAGACGGGCTTGTGACGAGGGTTCAGGAACAAGCGGGCCCCGATCGGGGGAGCCCAGTCCCTATGGCTTCGCCTTGGATCCCTCGCGCTCCCAGGAAAGCTTGAAGAAGCCGCTGAGGTGCCTCATCTACGACAGCTTCTACGACAACTACGTGGGCGTCATTGCCATGTTTCGGGTTGTTGAGGCGCACCCTTGCAGCAAGGGGGCAGCTCCACTGCCGTGCGCGGGCAAGTTGGCCGTTCTGCCCTTGCTTGGCGCGCGTCGATGTCCTCACGCAGCGTGAGCATTGCTGCCAGCCCACGTCGTACCCACCTAAACAACAAACGTGCCCACAAGCTCCTGAATGTTACGCCAGCTGTTTTCGGCATCGTGCGCTCAGAAGTACAGGGGCCCAGTAATCAAGCGCCTCTGCGTCGACGTTGTCACTGCTCCGTTGAGGTCCAAGCGGTTCACCGTCCGTCAGGAAAACTCGATCAGATGTTTTGCCCTTTTCCCAGGCAGTCGTTGTAGGGTGCGACATCCAGGACGCAGGTTCGTTGTGTGGCGCGCACGGCGACATTTTTTCATCGTATTTGGTTCTGGTCATCCCGTTCAACGGAGCGAGAAGGTATTGTGCCAGCTTGGTTTTGGAAACCGTTAGTAATGACCCTGACGTTGTGTTCAAGTTCCCCCCCTGGTTTCTGCTTTGCTTGCCCTCCCACAGGACAAGGCCCCCCTCTCCCATGGCCGACGACGGGAATGGCTCCGATGGAATTCGTTTCAGAATTGCCTTTGCATGTGTTGGAGTTGAGGGCCTTGCGTGCACCCCCCCCTATGGGGTCCAGGGAGCTCTGGGCCGACGTGTTCCTGGGCGGGTCCTGCTTGAAACCCGCCGTGTGAGACATGGATTGCGCGGGTTGGAGTTTGGCTTTGGTGGGTTCCGAAGCTAACTTTTTTTTAAGTGTGGCATCTGACCTTGTTTGGCACAGCGGCCCACGGACTGCCCAGGCGGGCGATTTTTCCGAATCTAGTCAGTGGTTGTGCCAGTGTCGTGTGCATGCACGCTCTCTCTGCGCCAGCCAGAGTTTCGCCCGACCGACCTCGTGGGGGGACGGTGATGCAGACACGAGCGCCCGGGGGAGGGCAGAAGGGGGCTGCATCATAGTTAAGTGTCACCAGGCCATCCATACCCAAAAGTTCAGATCAAGAGCGTTTCTTTTTGGGGGGCCATTGGCGACGACCCTGCTGATCGAGCAGCGAGACTCGGGGTGGAGCCGCACCCGTCTGCCTCGCCCGCGGTGCTCGCCGAGATCGCTTCGAGGGCTCTGTTGTGTAAGTTGTCCTCGGGTTTGCTGCGGAGTGGCTGCCGTCATGGCCCGGCGCGGGCCAGTCGGGCGTCCCTTGGCCCAACCCACGCGCACCCAAGGTTCGTGAAGCTTCGAGGCCCCGCACGTGGGCCCTGCTAGGCCCCATCGAGGCCTCCCACAGGCTCCTCCTCCTCCTCCTCCTCGCGTTTTCGGGCCAAGCGCAACCATGGACATTCCTGCCCCCCCCCAGGCCACTGTGCCGAAGTCTCCAGGGTCAGCGTTCAGTCGCTTCGGGGTGTAGTTCAGAAGTGTTTCATTGCTCCAACGCCATTATGATCTTCGCTTGCACAGAAGGCAAGGGTTACACGTCTGGCGCTCGCATGGCTAAGCTTGGGGAAGTGTGTTCTGGTCGTCTGGCGAAGACAAGTATAACCAGGCCTGCTGGAGCGGAAAATTTGGGGGTTCGATGCCAAAGAGAACGGAGCCACGTTTTTCCCCAACTCGGCTTGCCTCAGGGGTTCAGACGTGGATAAAGGCTGGTGCCGACTAGTGTTCAATTGCCCGTTGCTCGGAGGTTTCCCAGGTTCCCCAGCCCCCGGTGTTTCCTGATGTTACGTTGCCCGTTCCCCGGGGGGTCCCCGGGGTCCCTGCCCGTGGTGAGTCACGCAAAGCAACGCCAAGCCATGCCAAGCACTGTGCCCATGTAACAGGAAGTTTTCTCCTTATTTGGCGTGCTTTAGTGCACGAAGCGGGCGGTCGTGCTCAAGGCCTCCCCCTTCCCTCCTTCGCGGGGCAGCACAGCCTGCCGGGCCAGGAGACGGCGGCGCGGCGATCATGCAGACCCACTGGCGCCGACACCAGGGGACGTATGCGGGCAGTGCCACTGGGACCGTCGGTGGAGCGCCCTACGGGGCCACGAAGCGCTGTGCTGGGTGGTGGCTGACGCATGCGGGCGGTGCCACTGGGACCTTCGGTGGGGCTCCTTATGGGGCCACGAAACGCTGTACTCCGTGGTGAACGACGCACGCGGGCGGTGCCATTGTTTTTTTTGTTTGTGGGGCTCCCTACGGTGCCACGAAACAATGTATTGGGTGGAGGCTGACACATGTGGGCGGTGCCACTGGGACCGTCGGTGGAGCTCCCTGCGGGGCCACGAAGCGCTGTTCTGGGTGGTGGCTGAAGCATGCGGGCGGTGCCATTGGGGCCTTCGGTGGAGCCCGCATATGGGGCCACGAGGCGCAGTACTGGGTGGTGGCTGACGCATGCGGGCGGTGCCATTGGGGCCTTCGGTGGAGTTCCCTATGGGGCCACGCAGCGCTGTATTTGGTGATGGCTGACGCATGCGGGCGGTGCCAGTGGGGCCTTCGGTAGAGCCACTTTGGGGCCATCAAGCGCTGTGCTGGGTGGTGGCACTGACGCATGCGGGCGGTGCCACTTGGACCGTCGGTGGAGCTCCTCATGGGGCCACGAAGCGCTGTACTGGGTGGTGGCTGACGCATGCAGGCGGTGCCATTGGGGCCTTTTTTTATGGAGCTCCTTACGGTGCCACGAAACGCTGTGGTGGGTGGTGGCCGACGCATGCGGGCGGTGCCATCGAGGCCGTCGTTGGAGCCCCCTTGCGGGGCCACGAAGCGTTGTACTCGGTGTTTGCTCACTCACGCTGGCGGTGTCATTGGGGCCTTCAATGGAGCCAGTTTGGGGCCACGAAGCACTGTACTGGGTGGTGGTTGACGCATGGGGGCGGTGCCACTGGGACCGCCGGTGGAGCTCCCCATGGGGCCACGAAGCGCTGTTCTGGGTGGTGGCTGACGCATGCGGGCGGTGCCATTGGGATCTTTTTGTGGAGCTCCGTACGGTGCCACGAAACGATGTACTGGGTGGTGGCTGACGCATGCGGCCGGTGCCACTGGGACCTTCGGTGGAGCTCCTTATGGGGCCACGAAACGATGTACGGGTTGATGGCTGACGCATGCGGGCGGTGCCACTGGGACCGTCGGTGGAGCCCCCTTACGGGGCCACGAAGTGCCGTGTTGGGTGGTGGCTGACGCACGCGGGCGGTGCCAGTGGGGCCGTCGGTGGAGCCCCCATATGGGGCCACGAGGCGCTGTACTGGGTGGTGGCTGACGCATGCGGGCGGTGCCATTGGGGCCTTCGGTGGAGTTCCCTATGGGGCCACGAAGCGCTGTACTGTGTGGTGGCTGACGCATGCGGGCGGTGCCATTGGGGCCTTCGGTGGAGCCACTTTGGGGCCATGAAGCGCTGTGGTGGGTGGTGGCTGACGCATGCGGGCGGTGCCACTGGGACCGTTTTTTTAGGTGTAGGCTGACCGAGGGCGGCCCTCGGTTCCGCATACTCCTGCCGACGCGCCAGCCAGCAGGAGGCCCTGGCCGTCCACGACCACGAACGCGAGGCCGAGGATGCCGAGGGAGGGCGCCGCGGCCGCCCGCGCCTAGGGCGGGGCCCGCCGCCGCCCGCGAGGCCCGCGAGGCCGCCGAGCGCGAGCGCGGCGGTCGCCAGGCCGAGCCCCACCGCCTAATGGTGGGGCGGAGCGGGGCCTAGACCCCCCGAAGGGGCGGCACCCCCGCAAGCGCGAGGACCTAGTGCGGGAGCACCAGGTCCAGCATGCGCTGGACCTCCTCGCGCATCGCCTCCGAGGGCGGAGGCTGCGCGCGG